AGAGACCAGGCACCCAGGGACTGGTCACTGCCCGTGCAGCCTGGGACCGGGTGTGAGGTCAGTCAGCTGCGGGTCCAGAGGAACACTGAAGACCCAGGTGTCAGAGGCTGAGACCGGCAGCCAGGATGGGGGCACAGAGCAGTGAGGGCTGCCACACCTGCCCTTCCTCGGGCCTTGGTGACCGTGCCCCCTGTGTGGTGCAGGCTGGGAGGTGTCCAGCAGGCACACAGGACGCACCCTAGGGTGGGAGCCTCCACGTGGAGGTGAGGGAGGGAGGGGAACAGGACGGAACCTCCCCAGCCCTCGTGTCTGCCGCCCTGTATCACGGCCACGGGGGCCCTAAGAAGCCCACATAGTGCGAGGACTGGACCTGAGGTGCTGGCACAGGAGCTCAGAGAGCAAGGCTGAGGGTCTCCGGGGAGTTCACTTGGAGTCTGGAGGCCTCGCTGGGGGCCAGGGCTCCCTCGGACTCCTCTGTCCCTAGAGATAGTGCTGCACATCTGAGTTTTACTGTTTTCCAGATTTCCTTGCAAGTTTTACACCTGAATTTTTTATACACTTGATTGCTTTTTATATCTGATATTTGTTTAGACCTTAAAAGCAGTTCTATACTAAAAATTAAACTAGCCCTGGGCATCCCGGAGAGTTTCTTTTTCTTTTCCTTTTTTCTTTTGAGACAGTTTTACTCCTTCACCCCTCCTAGAGTGCTGTGGCGTCATCCTAGCTCACAGCAACCTCAAATCCTGGGCTCAAGCGATCCTCCTGCCTCAGCCTCCCAAGGAGATGGGACTACAGGCATGCACCACCACGCCCGGCTAATTTCTTCTGTGTTTAGTTGCCCAGCTAAATTCTTCTATTTTTTTTTTTTTTAGTGGAGGCGGGTCTCATTCTTGCTCAGGCTGGTCTTGAACTCCTGAGCTCAAGTGATCCTCCTTCCTCGGCATCCTAGAGTGCAGGGATTACAGGCGTGAGCCACACGCCCGGCCTCCAGAGAATTTCTTTATTGCTTCTGGAAGAGTCTCTGCATTACTCAAATTTAGGGACCGCGGGAAGCAGAAGCCGAGCCTCAGGGGCAGGGCAGGTCAGTGCCAACAGAGGGAAGCGCCCGGAAGAGGCGGCTGGCAAGACCTCGCTCGAGTGCCCGCCCGGTGAGGCACACGGCACTCAGGCCCGACCCGGACAGGAGAGGAGGCCGCGGTGCAGGCGCAGTGGGGCTTAGGACGCACACGCTGCGTGTGGCCCGGCGTACCCCAAACGATGGCAGTTCCTGTACACCCGGTTCACAGCAACGCTGCTCACAAGAGCCAAAGGGCGAAAGCCACCTGTTGCAGTGGGCAGGTCTATGCAGGCCTGTCCCCAAAGTCCAAGGAAACTGAAAGGCTGAAGAAAGAGACAAATCCAGTTTCAGAAAGAAACATTTAATAGGGACTTAAGAACAGAAGGGATGTCCCCTGTGGCCCAGAGAGGAGACAGTGGGGCCCTGTGCCATCACCCCCCAGACCCAGGGCTGGAGCAATCAGAGAGGTAAATCTTGCTCACAAAAGTATACTTTACCCAACTTCTCTAAGCCATAAGCAGCTGAGAAGGAAAAAGGTTTTCTTCGACCAGAGTGGCGGCCTCCCTGCCAGATGTCTGTACACCTTCAAGCTGCCATCCGCGCGCCTGCGGCTCTGCTGGCAGGTGAGAGCTGTCTGTGGGGTCTCCAGCAGCTCCTCCCAGGGTGCCAGAGTCAGTCCTGGGGCGGGAAGGGCTCCCTGCTTGTTAGTGTCCCCCCCTTGCACTCCCCAGGTGGCACGATCCTGTACACACCACTTCCGCTTGACTGCGGGACTCTTCCAGGGACCCCCGTCCCCATCGGTGTTGCGCTGACGTCACCAGGACATCAGGGTGTTTCAGGTGTCAGAATCATTTCATGTCCTTCAGTTGCAGGGGTGGCCTCCGCTAATGTCCCGTAGCGAGACCGCAAATGCCTCTCGTACTCGAGTGGAGATTCTATACTCGAGGTCCCGGCAGTCGTCCTTGGGAAGTGGTCACAGGCTTTAGCCGCACAGAGGGCTGCCGGGGAGGGCGTGCCCAGGCCACTCCAGCTGCGACTCTGCACTCAGGGCTGGGCGGTCGCACTGCTCCCACTCAGCGTGTCCCGTGAACGTGGCCCAGAGGGCAGATCTACAGGCCTTGTGTTTCGCAAAACCAGGCAGGAGAGAAACGTCCCCCGGTCCGACATGACATCCATTTTTATAAAACACTTTGGGAAACACGACACAATTACTTTACATA